ATGTGTGATAATTAAACAATACCAGGTGTTATGAATAGTGACGTGTATGTGTGATAATTAAACAATACCAGGTGTTATAAATAGCGACATGTATGTGTGAGAATTAAACAATACCAGGTGTTATGAATAGTGACGTGTATGTGTGATAATTAAACAATACCAGGTGTTATAAATAGTGACATGTATGTGTGAGAATTAAACAATACCAGGTGTTATAAATAGTGACAGTGTATGTGTGAGAATTAAACAATACCAAGTGTTATTAATAGTGACGTGTAGGTGTGATATTTTAACAGAACCAGATATTATAAATATTGTTAAATATTTTTGTGATGTCATCGAAGGTGACGGAGGTTATGTTTTCACCTCTGTGTGTGTGTGTTTGTCAGCAAGATTTCTCGAAAACGACTGAATGGATTTCGACGAAAGTTGGTATATATTTGAACTATGACCCAACTTAGAAGTGATTAGTTTTTAGGGTCAGAGTTCAAGGTCACGAAAATACAAAAAATCCCTATCTGTTAACATGGAAACCGATTTTTCACACTATTTTTGCTCTATAACTCAGTCAAAAATGATCGGATTTTGATTAAACTTGGTGGACATATGTGAAATATCATTCCTCATTGTCCTGCCAAAAATGGTTTCGTGTCCGTTGATAACGACGGAAATACGGACACAATATCGTATTTTTGTTAGGGTCGAATATGATCAACACTGCGTAGCGGAGGTATGTGCTCTACTGAGTGCCCTCCATATTTGGGTTAGTAATATTTGACTACAACAGTTTTATGAATATTGAGAAAGCTAGTTCATTTTTAAACACGAGAAAGTAAGTAAAATACAAAGTTTTCCCAAAATTTGTTGCGTTAAAGAAGTCGTGTAGTAATTATTATTATTTTTTCGCCAGTTTCAGGAAGTTATTTGCGTTACAGAAGTCGTGTAGTAATTATTATTATTTTTTTCACCAGTTTCAGGAAGTTATTTGCGTTACAGAAGTCGTGTAGTAATTATTATTATTTTTTCGCCAGTTTCAGGAAGTTATTTGCGTTACAGAAGTCGTGTAGTAATTATTATTATTTTTTTCACCAGTTTCAGGAAGTTATTTGCGTTACAGAAGTCGTGTAGTAATTATTATTATTTTTTCACCAGATACCGAACTAGCTACCAAAGATAGCTAACTTTTGAACCATCCTGTGCGTTATATTGCTAGCTTCAGGTCTGTGATTGTGAATAAGTGTAGCTCCCAAATCGGCAGCTTTTCTTTCACAGATAACCGCTTGAACACTCTTGGAGAAAGCAAGTGTTTCTTCTGTATTATTTACCTAGCTTTTGCTATGGTAACACAGTTATAAATGGCGAAAGCTAAAAGGATGTTATACGAGAGGACGAGTAAAGAAAGAGATGTTGGAAGAAACGTGTGTAACGATGAAGTATTTAGCCATCACTTGTGAGACTAGTAATAGCAGATTGTGAGATCCGGAAATTACGTAGCGGGCTAAATAATTCACGCCATTGACTATGTGAGTATGAGTAAATATAGTATTATTGTTAGAAGGCTTTGTTTTTCAGCTTTGGTCGGAGGGTCAGTCAATGATGTCATGTGCCATGTTTTTCAGCTTTGGTCGGAGGGTCAGTCAGTGATGTCATGTGCCATGTTTTTCAGCTTTGGTCGGAGGGTCAGTCAATGATGTCATGTGCCATGTTTTTCAGCTTTGGTCGGAGGGTCAGTCAATGATGTCAGTACCACGGTAAATAACGTTAACAGCAATGGATCTCAATTAACTATCGTTTTATGATAGGTTTTAGATAAGTGGTTCGATTATTGTTTGTCATAGTTTCCATTGTTACTAATTACTCGTTAAAACTCTAGTGCAATGAAATATTTTGATTAAGTGGGATATAGCTGGTTAGCTTGAGATATTTGTCTTTCTCATTCTAGCAACCACGAGGGAAATATGTTAAAACACTGTTATAACCAGTGCTGACGAGGCCAATACCCGGGCTCGTAATGCCGGCTAGGATATGACAGACACAGTCGTGGTCTAGACGCTGTATATATATATATCATTAGTTTTCATGCACAACAACTCAAGTTGTAGCAACCCCTACTGATTGTTCATAAGCTGCCCCTTTCTCCTACCTTTTTTTTTTTTTTTTTTTTTTGTCTCTTTGCAATTATAAAGGCTCGTTTCCTCGTTCAGCATTTCAGTTGCTATGACTTTTGGTTTGTTTAGAATTTCGCGCAAAGCTACACGAGGGCT